TCTTTTCAATTTACTTTTTTACGAAACAGTTAATTTAATTATCTGATAAAATCGATATGATGTATCGAATTTATTTAATGTATCTCACTTCTATCAATAAGATTGATCGCGTGCAATTAGCTAATTGCAATATATTTTAGAAACTAAAGAAAAGTACATTTTCATATAGAATATTATTAAATTTACTGACTAAAGAATATAATAATAGCTATTTTTTCCGAAACTGATGTTAAAAATATTTGAATCCTAAATTGATTGATACTACAACGCTGTAGATTTTCTTTTAAACATTATATATTATATACATATTAACTTTTAACATTCTTTTTAAATCAGAAATAAACTTTTGTCTATTAATTTTTTATTTAAGTTTAGATAGCATTAGAATAATTATAGCAAACTTTTATGTTCTGCTGTTTTTTGTTATCATCGTACAGATATTATGTTTTTTGAAAAATTTATCTTGGTTACAGTACGATTCTACTTTTCATATTTCCGTTCTACGAATTGAACTACCAATTTACTTTAGCATCAAGCAAACGTGAATAAATGTATATGTCGTTTTCCCCTTCGCTTTTCCGCTTTCCCCATCAATTTTCACCCTCTTATGGTTATCCTTTGACGATTTGAAAACTTATGTCATCTCCTTGCGTTATTTACGCATCGCTCCCCAGTTTTCCGAAAGAAGATGCTCGAAGAGCTATTTCCTCAGAAGGAGAAGTGATTTGTCCCAAAACGACTCGTCGGGATGCAATAAGATGTTGAAAGAAGCAACGAGTCATGCCTCAAGTATAAAAATTTCTCTCTTGTATTCCCTTGAAGTTCCGGCTGTCCCGAAACATTTTTCACAGATGTAAATCTTGTCTTTTACGAATGTGACGGAAGTGATTAATATGATAAACACTTCACAGCATAAAAGCAACTTACTTTTTGTAAGTACTTCTCTATATTTTTTATCTTCAAATATATATTTTTTTAGTTTTTTACTTTTGAGTATTTGTTTCATTCTTAATGTTATTTTCACACGAATATATTATTTAACATATATGCTTTTGTAATTCCTTTCCTTTCCTTTGTCATGTATTGCAAGTGTAATTGTAATTTTCAAACATAAAGAAGAAAACCGGTCATGTAATTAATATGATGGCGTATAAATGTGCTTGTAACGTTGCGAAATGAGTCAGTTAGAGAAAACCGACGATGTTCGAGTCGCCCAAAATTTTCGCGTTGGTGTCGACGTTGGTTGTTTCGATCAAAGGAAACTGAAATGACGTGCAAATTAACGTTTAAACGATGAGAAACGTAAATTAGAACGTAACGAAATAAAACCAAATACACCTACCTGTTTGAAGGCAACAAAAGAGCGACAAAAGCTTTCATCACTAATGTAAGATGCAATACAAGATATTTATTTAAATGGAAATTTTGAAAAGAAAAAACTATATTGAAAGCAGATTATTGTATAATTTTAAATATTTCGACATCTTCCTTGTTTCTACATCTTTTATTCGTATATATGCAAACAATACATTTTTACCCATTTTATTTATTAAAAATAGTGAACGAAGTATAACATGTAAATTTAATGAAAAATGTAAAGTTTTTAATATACGAGATAAAAGGGAAAAGCAATATATATATATAATTAAAAGTATATCTTTCAATTTATGGAAAATGAACATATGATGCATAACTTTTCTTTCTAAAATTTACTTCTCGAGATTAGATTCTGTTGCTTTTTTCTTTATACTTAGGAAATTAAAGATGAAAGATTTTGAGTATTATTCTTCTGGCATGTCCAATCGTCGTCAGGTGAGAAGCGCAAACGAAAGAGTGCAGGAAGGTGAACAAAAAATTAAGAACAAAGGCGATTGCCGAGGTGGTGATGATGTTTAATCGTAAATCAATAAAATTAATGATTTAAATAAATAAATTAAAAATGTTTATACACATATTTCTATATATATAATATATAATATAATATAAAACATAAATAGGGTCCCGCGCACGCGAGATTGCTGGAGCATAGCGCGCATCCCTTGCTTCCTTTCAGTATACCCTATCGTTTTTTCCTCGCGTATGGGGATCGTTATCATCGAGGTTTCTGACGGATGAGATCATTATCGGTCTCTTGATAACATTTTCCCGAAGATTTCAACGCAATCTCCGTCTCGTCGACACGATATTATTAACGTTCCGTTTCATAGAAATCCCCCCTCGTGAGCTTTTAATTAGAACGGAAATGAATGGACACGTCATCAATGCTCCTTCACATATCGTGTTTTACGGAAAATATTTTAGAGGTTAGATTATTATACCTCTCGAAAACCTCTCGACCACCCTACGTTTCTATCTTCATCGAGATGAGATTTCATCATCGCTCTCGCGAATTCCTCTCTTTCCCGTTTCTCCTTCTCCTCCTCTTTCTTCCTTTTATCTACCTTATATCTCTGTTTTTAACTAATCTAATGCGTTACACTATCGTATATTACATTAAATCGTTTTTGCCCTGTGGTCTCTTTCCCACGACTCATTCACTGACTGGCCAATTTCCTTCTCCTCCTTTCGCGTCATTTTTTTTTATCTACGCAATGACGCACGCGATTCTTAATTTGCGATTCAATAAACTTCGAAAATACTGTCATTAGGATACTATTCGACTTAGTACACTTTAAATTATTTAAACATCATTTAATGATTTATATAATCATCGAGAATTTATTCAGCGAGTTAAAAATTTGCTTATCTGATGAATATTTGCTTATCTGAATTATTCAAATGTCATCAATAAGTGTTAAAATTATTGTTTCAATGTATTATCCTAATCTGTGAACATCAAGAATGTTTTTGGATACTTTTTGACATTTCTTCAATAAATATATCACTTTATATCGATATTTTTCTCGCGTTCGTATTCCAAACATAAAGGTGGAAAAATCACGAATTAATCTCCTTTTACTCACTGCATTATTCGAACATTTTACTGGTTACCTAACAGCGAGGAACATGCGACGGCTTAGTTTTCTCTCGCGATTTCCTCCTGCGATTTCAATAAAACCGAGTAGAATAATAAAGTCGTTAAAAAAGGTCGAAAAGAAAGATAATCGGCTTGGCAAAACTCAAGTTTAATCCACAGAAACTACTACTTTCAGAAGCAGTTCTCCATTTTTCTCTTTCAAGAATAATTAATAACTTTTCAACATTCCATTCGTCTTCTCACACGATTCTGAGCAAGCGGTTAAGTCTTAAAAAAAGTCTTCGCAGATTGAATTGTTTGTGGCCATTGTCTACAAAGTCAAAAGCTATATATCTTTTCTCTTACGCTTACGTTGTTTCACGGTGTAGTCTTATTAAGTATCGAAGTTCGATAATTCTGAACCATTTAGGTTCAGCACGTAGCTCGATTGTGGTTTTAAGAGAAAAGAATTCGCCGAAAGGAGGAGTGAGGGCCCTTCGCGTCGCCCTGGTCGCCTCTAGGAGGCGACAATCTATCGTGATCGCACCCGTCCTTGATCGAGACCCTGGGCTCTTTGGTATTGTTCTCCCGTTCGCGGAGACTACGGAGAAGTGTGCGGACCGCACCCCGCCTCTCCGGTGCGCTTCCACGTCGTCGTTTTGGACACAGTGTTTTTCTCTAGGTCAAGCACCGCCATTCGAATTCGCGAATAGTCGCTCGAGAGCTCTCCCCCGATGATACCGCGCCGAAAAGAGAGCATCAGGAGAGCCGAGAGATCGACGCGTTCCCCTTTTTTTTCCCTTCCCTCTTTCATACGCCAGCACACGCTCATTTGCACATTCATGATCTCTCGCACCGTCGCCCATTCTTTCTGTCATTTCCATTCTCTCTTTCCCTCGCCGAAGAACTTTCCGCGAAAGCGCGAGTACATCGCGTAGTGACATTTTCTAGAAGGAAAATAATGGGAAGGGGAGAGCAATAACATTCAAAGAAGAGAAACAAAAAAAAATGAGGAAGTGGTAAAGAGAGTAAAAAGAAGAAAAGGCAGTAAGGCAAAAAGATGTAGAAAAAAATAGAAATGTACGTTCGAGAGAGAAATGAATAAAAAAATATATTAGGATGAAAGAGTAAAAAAAAGAAAAAAAACAAATGGAGGGAAATGGAGGAATAAAAAGGAAAAGATGTATAAGTAGCACTAGCCGTAGAAATTGAGGAAGGTACGAATGCCCGGGTCCAAATTGTTCTGGAATCTTGTCCTTATGTGAAGTACGCAGGAGCCGTCTTAATGCCCGAGATCGACGGAATCAAAATTCGCCATTTCTAACTCTCTGGTCACGATTTCTCCCCCTTGTCTAATTATCTCGCGCCCGTGTCTCAAATCTGCCTATTTTTTTTCTCCGCTCACGCAATTTTCCTTTCCCTCTTTGGTCGCGCGTTGGCCCTCTCACGACTCTGTCTCGTGGGTTCCCCTACATCGCAGTACACCGCGAGGATAGTAAAAGGTCTACTCATGGTTAAAAAGGGCCCCGCGCGATTATCGCTAGCAGTAGTACGAGGTAGAGAGTCCCAGCTTGCAGGAAAAGGGTGCCCTACGCCGGTTATACACACTTCCGGTGCTGCTGACGTCCTTCGTCTCGCACCGCAGACCCGTGAAACCCTCCGCACATCTGTAACAGACAATTCAAACAGGATCAGTAGAGAATCAGTTTGCATTAAATGATCACATTCTCTAAAATTGTAGAACTAATAATACCGCGGATAATACCGCAGACAGTGAGAATAAATATTTTTGCCGTATAATTTAATAGATGTTATAAATTATAAACTTTTCTTAAAAATCAAAAGCATGAATTATCGATTCGATGTATTATCTAACCAAATTAAAATTATTTATAAGATCACTCTTCTTTTAATTTTTTAATATTTTAATATCGTCCTTTCCATGCTGTCCTCATTATGCTTCAAGGAGATTAATTTTAAAAGCTAACCTCCTCATGTATAAAATTAATGTAGAACAATGTAATTACGTTGACATATATATGAATATAGAAATCGATATTTTTTTAATCCTATCAAATCTTATCTTCATTTAATGGCAAGATTGAAAAAAATATTTGATATTTCTATAATATTATTTATTTAAGCTTTATCATCCTAACTCTTGGTGATACCATGCTAACCAGACGTTTTCGTCGCTTCGGTGAAATTTATCGTCCGTCTCGGGATTTTTCTCGGGTGCGTATGCGAAGTGAGTTTCTTAATTTAACTAAATGTATGCGTCGTATCAGAATTTGCGCGACAGCGTCTTTCGCACGGCAGTCTGCAAAAGCGCGGGGGAGACGACGGAAAGAGACGACGGAATAGCGGGGATTTCGAGGAGCGACAGGCCGATGCGTCGTTTCTTTGGAAAAATAATGTTATGCCGTCGTCGTGGCTATTTAAAGACCGCGGTTAACTAACCGCGACGAGACGTTTGTGCCACGTTCGAAGCCACCACGGGATTAAGAGCCCGGGCGTTCGCTGGGTGTCCGGATAAATAAATTATAACACGACTTTTCCTCTACCAGTCTTTCTCGCGTCCTCCATTTTTCCCTCGACACGCGAGCCGTTTCCTCATCTTTTAATCGCAAATGCCGTCCATTATTCTTTGCCGTTGCCGCGCTGTCGAATTTTGCACGTGGAAGGAACGAACGACGAACGAAAGCACACTTCGTCAAACGATTCACGTGCAACGAGCTCCATTCGCGTTGTCTTATATGAAATGTCACTTTGTCTTAGATGAAATTATTTTTTTTTTCTCCCATGTTACAGCTAAGATAGTGAGAAATTTGCAATGTAATTGCGATATTTATAATCAGAAAAATTATCCTCAGGTCCTTATAGAGCGATATTTTAAAAAAGCAACAATAAATAATTCATTTGATGTGTAACTAGATTATAGAGTGCAATAAAATACAAATACTTTTATTTATTATAAATTTTTAAAAACCAAATCTATAAGAATTTTCGTAGTTTTAACATAAATATATAGAAGAGTCTCATGCCAAAATATTTTAAAATACTTTTACGAGATAAAATATAGGTGAACTCACAAGTATCTGTATTATAGATAAAGAATAGTTAATCATTTATAATATTACAATATTATTTACAATATTATTTATTATATTATTATAATTATTTAATAGCTAAATTACAAAATTTGAAATTATAATAAGCTTCATAGTTTTATAACAAACTTATAAGAAAGTACATGTTAAAATATTACTTTCACAAGATAAAATATGATTGAAAATATGATTGAACTCAAATATGTATCTGCGTATAATTATGCCGTAAATATAATTATCCATAAATAAGGAATAGATAATCTTATTGGAGTTGATCACTCCCCTACTACCCTTAATTTTTTTGCTGTTTGCGATGTCGTCTTAATTTTTTGTGTTTGTCGTCTAGCTCGTACGAGGTACGAATCTAATTTAAAATCGCACTCGCGACGCATAAATATTCAGCAATAATCACGGTTTTTTTTGGCGGAACCTGTACGTCCGGACGTGCATCGGGCATCCTTAATCCGGCACTGCGACCGCGGTGTGGAAGTCCGGAGAGAAGTCTACCTCTGCCGTGGTGTCTGGGCGCTCGGCGTCGTGCGATAAAGCGTATTTTTGTCACGACAAATTTGGAGCGTCTGAGACTTGGCGCGTCGTTTTTATTTCGCGAAATCGCACGCATAGGTAAAACGAAAGCGGGGAAGGAAGAAGAGGGTGGAAGAGGGGGAGGGGAGAACAACGAAGGGAGGACCAAAGAGAAAAAACGAGAGAAAGAGAGAGAGAGAATGAAAGAAAGAGAATGCGTGATACACACTGTTCCAGAAGTGTCGCCGATGAGAAGAGGGGAGATGCCCTGCGAGAGAATTACGTTCTTCGGGACCATCTCTCTTTGAGCGTTTGCGTTCGTCGAAGCATTTGTCGCGCGCTCGTACAAGCGCCATGTTTAGACTGTATTAAAAAAGAGAAAAGGAGAGAGAAGAAGAGAGTGACGGGAGACATATGCTAAGGGATAACTTAAAGGCGAACGCGAAGATCGCGATGATGATGTTTATCCGCGTTAATTGGTGGGGAGGGGATTACGATCAAATTAGACTTTGTTGCGAAATTTTTTTTTTTTTTGCGAATTTGATTTGAGAGTTTTTCGACGCTGCCTTCGCCGGGATTTACGGGGGCGTACATTAAATATACCATCTCTTTCTCTTCTCCCGCTGGATTTACTGCCAAACGAGAACTAAAACAGCGGCGTAGATAGCACAATTTATTGTACCATTCACTTAAAGCTATTAATGTGTCCCGCTAGCTTTGCCCCTCGAGTAATTGGCCTTCTATTGAGATTTATCGTAATCATGCGTGTATTCGCAGAAACCTCTCGGGCAACTCTTTTACACGCCGCCGTAAAAAAACGAACTCGCGAATTCGTGAACCGAAACCCGCGAAACGTTCGTTTATTTGCGAGAGTTAGGTAGGACATATATATAGTGAAGTTGGACAAAACTGAACTGCTTAGACTACCGGGAACTCGAACTCCACAGGATACATTAGCAAATAAATAGCAAACAAATTAAAAAGAGAGAAAAAATATAATAAATAATATAATGACTTTTTTAAATTCATCTTACTTTAAATTCATTTCATTATCACTCTCTCTGTATATCCGTTGCATATGTGTATTAATTTTTCTAAATTATCCCCGTTCGTTCTCTCTATGCAGTTTCGGTAAAAATTACAAAAGTCACTGGGAAAATTCATGGGCATTTTCAGAAGCTTAACGTGAAAAATTTTACGCGTCCTCGTCTTTAAAGTACTTTTATGACTCGCGAGCGGAAATAAAATATCCTCGACGAAAATGTTCTGTCGTTAAAAATCAATTTTTCTCGATGACAGATTTTACGATTTTGCGATTCTCGGCTGCGTCAGGACTGGTAACAACTGACGGATCATGGGGAACATTGAGCTTGTAAAAAATTATAAATTAGCATGGCTCGTTAATTTCAAGATCGTTGGCAGAGCTGTGTGAGATCCACCTGTTTTTAGAGAATATAATTGTTCTCTGAATGTCGATTGGTATTCAGAGTTTCCCGGTTTCCCGGAGACTCATTATTTCGCGAGCTTTTAACAAGGTATTATTATCGCTTCTCGAAATCTATCATGATGATTACAACGACATCGAAGCTCTTTTTAAATTAAAATTTAATTTAAAATTTTTAGTTTTTAGTAAAAGAATATTTTTCTGATATATTATTATGCAAAAATCTCATATGAAAAATATTATTAGAGTCTTGAAATATATCGTATAATACATGCCTAGAAATTCATTGTGCGTAAATTGATTTCATTGTTTGTAGATATTTGAGAATTCACATCAATGATAATAAGTAAGTTTAATTGAATAAGCATAAAAAAATCACCGAATGTTAATAATAAGCTAATTGTATATAATTAATTATATATATGAATGTTCATAATTATTGAATATTAATTATTAAATTTTATTTATGCATTTATATTTATCTAAAATAATATAAATCTCTCAGAAATGTAATATGTATATAGTTCACCATTTTCAACAAAAATTATTTTTAAGTAAGCATTTTAAGCATTTAAATTAAGAGATATATGGTCTGATCGATCAGATTGTGAAATAATATATATGCCTGAAAAATATTGAGAAATCAAATATTTTATCGCCAATTTTTAATAAAACATAATATTTTTAAATCAATTATCACTGACATTTGCGATGTAAATATCTTTCACAGATATTTCAAAATTTAATGAGGTAGATGCTTAAATAAATCGCGCTCTATATTTTATAAGTCAGTTTTACGATATAGTCGTACAAAGAAAGATATTTTATTAATTAAAATATTCTACAAAATGTCACATTGCTTCTTGACATAATGAATTTTTTAAAATTTAAAATCGAAAGTCGATTAGTGAAAATTTACCGAGAATTTTGTAGGAAAACTCGGTCATATATATTTATTTTATAATCTTATAAGAACAAACGTTTAACTTAAAATTCATCAAGATATATAATTCCTTTTTTTTTCACTAATTGAAGTGACTACATGAAATATTCAGTGTTGTGCTCCAGAAATATCATAATTAAATGACAGCTCGTAAAATTAATCTGAGAAAAGTACCACACGTAATTTCCAACGTTGTTGCAATGATTAAAACCATACGCTAACCACTTTGTTTTCCCAACGTACAGGTGAAATGCGCGGTACTACGTGAGTTAAGTTCATTTTTACAGAAAACGATGCTTTAATCACATTTAAGCGCCGACGAAATGCACGTAGTTCACAGTAATAACTCAAAATGTTTTTCCGCGTGACACTACGGATTAAGAATAAACAAACCGGGCAAAAAACTAATTAAAACACAGAAAATCCGCGAGAAAAGCTCACAAGATATTCCAACGAGTACTGTCTTTCCGCGCCACTCTAAGCACAGTCGCTTTCCTTTTCTTCGTATTAATTAAAAGTAGCACAGCAATCCGAAGAAAGGCGAATCACTTTTTCCGAGGTCGGCATTTAAACGTTTCCTTAAGAAGGAGGCTTTCCTTTTATAATATTTTTTGCGACGAGTAGTAGAATCTTGTAATTGTACTTACAAGAGTATCATGTAAGAATACTCTCTAAATGTATATTATACAAGATATTACACGAGACGATTTTTATACGAAATTTTTTACAATTTTATGTATGCAATTTTTTATGTTAAAGTTTAATAATAAAATTTAATGAATGGCAAATATTTAGTATGTTTTTGATGTTTGGTTTCGAGTCCAAGTAAAATATATCTTAAAAATAATTTTAATTTGTAGATTTACGTTTATAAAACTCTTTAATTAATTTTTACGGCTTTTTAACCAATTGCGTAAAATTTATAGACTCATATAAATATACATAGATGTAGAGAATTATATATATCTCTATAAACTATGAAATATAGACTTTTTGTTTTAGAAAAATCTTGCATGCAGTGTACAGAATTCAATGTTGGAGCAATAATGCAAATATATGATGTTAATAATCTTCGAATATTATTTCTTTCTTATCTCTTTCTTTTGTATACAATTTACATATATGAAATTCTTTAATATTACAATCTCCTCTTTTTCTTTTTCACATGTTTTGGGGCGTTCAAACGTGCAGATCGAAAGCATTTGCGCTCGCATGTGTTTTAAATGCACAGAAGAACTTTGGCTATAATGTACTGTACTTTATGTCGAAACAGCCTGCGAGTCACACTTTTCTACCCTCGCCCTCGTGCACTTACTTCTCGCGAGGCAAACTGGGTTACTTAGTTGTTCGTATAGCAGCTGCATCCACACTTACCGCGCATACAAACGCGGTTAAAGCAAAGCTACTAGAGATCCTGTTGCACCTGTACCTTTCTCTTCTTTCATCCCCTCGATCTCGTTTCTCCGTTTCCCCAACTCTCTCTTGCCCGCATTCTCGCTTTCGTTTATTTTTTCGCTTTCTTTTCCACTTTTATCGACTTGGTGTCACTCCAGGAGGTAGAATAAATGAGAGAACTTTATCTTTTATTTAATTTAGAACGTATTAGAACTTTATGCTTTATTTACGAAGATTTTTGAGAACGAATTATATTAAATCTTTTTCAGAGCAAGATTGAGACAGAATATGTAAATTTGTAAAAAAAGATTTAGATATTGCGAAAGAAAAATTGTGAGTGAAATCTTTTATTAAAAGGAGATTTACTTTGACGTAGTAACTGAATCTTCGCTAAGTTTTTTCAATATCAGTGTATATCTGGAGTTCATTCATCGTTAAAGGTGGAACGAAATGAAAGCTGGGTGCGTATGTCGCCAAAGGGTATCAGCTGGCAGGACAGGTTACCATCTGGGAAATTGGAAGCGTCGTCGGGCGGCGGTGCTTGCTTTCGATCCAACATTTTCCAGCATCATGTGTCGACTTCCTCCCTGCAAGGGCAGGTAAGAACATAGGGTGGAAAGATACATCTCCATGATGCAGTCTCGGCCAAGAAGTTTGAAACGGTCTTTCACCTAAGTCCGGTGAAACTTGAATTAACTTGACTACAGCTAAGCAATGACGAAACTTGATTCAACGTGGAAGATCTGCGTTGATGAGCGCGCGGCGAAGGTTAACCCTTAAAATTTAATTTCATCTCAATGTTCAGGAAGCGATAAGCCCGTGATAAACGATTAAATAACGTTTTGAATCTTTAGTTAGCAGTGAAATATATCTTGTGTTTGCTATTAGAAAAAGATTTGAAGATTTCTTTCGTTCAGTTTACGACATGACGCTATTTATCTTTTTCGCCACGTATTTATCTTTATTTGTTACAAAAATCACTGAAATTCCTTATTAATTAAATTGCGATATTTTTAATGCTTCGAACGTTTCGAATATTCTTACGGGATTTAGTTCCAAAGTGAAACAAATTCTCACTCATTCACTTTTATTCAACGTCTAAGTTTCAAAATTCTAGGAGTAATGCATTCGCATGTCTTTTTTATTCCGAAAAGTCGAGTCCTGTGTATGTTTTATGCGACACGCGCGACGATTTCGTAAGCAAAGTTCGTAGTCCGCATGCCATTCACGTCGAAGCTGTTGATCCTCTCTAATCAATTAGACGGGCTGCTCCAATTAATTACACGCGCTGCTTACGGGTGGTCTTAAAAAAGAGATTTACGTCTCGCACGAGGACTTCTTGAAATCGACACTTTGTATAAAAGCTTTATATCGTATCGGGTCTGTTTGCACAGCACTGTGATATATCACGATGTCGAAAAAGTTTCTTGTAACTTTCGCCGTGCGCTTTCAATAAGAACGCTCGGTGAAAGAATTCCGTAGGTGTTCAGAAATAAAAGCGCACAAAGCGGAAATAACAGCGTGGAAGAGAAACGGAACGTGTAAAGGCAAAGGGGGTGAAAATTTTACGGCGTCTGACTTACGATTGTTGCGAGAACGCGTCCTCCGTCCGGACGGACCCACGGCTCTGCCTCGAGGAAACTACGATCTTTCTCTAATTAATTAGAGAGGCACGTTTAATTAAGTTAAATGGCTGGGTTTTGCCGGTCAGACGGCGTAATGAAACTATGAGCCCGAGACTATTATGGTGAACGTCTAACGATGTGTACGACGTATTGGCCGTTTATATTTATATTGGAAATGTTAGGTTAACCTAGAAAACAAATGGTCACCAATAATCATTATCAAGTCTTTATCAATTACATAAATAAAATTTAAATTAAATTAAATTAAATAAGTAAATTTTGAAAAATTATCGATTTTTCTTAATATTTTACTTTTATGGGTTAATATATTTCTATTTTATAATGATATTCCAAGTTGATTAGCATGATTAGCATGCCAAATTAAATTGTGCCGATTAAACGGCAAACCTAAAACTGTCTTATCTGCTCAATTAAATCTATTCACATATAAAAATTTTGACATTAGATAATTAAGAAAATCAATTAATTAGGTTTTGCGAACATTCGAAATTCTCGATTTGGCGCGACGAGTCGATAGCGAAAAAATGTCATTCATCGTTCACTACATCGAGAAGCACTCCAATTCGATTGGACCAACGATGCCGGATAATTTGAGCAACTTTCCGTTCGTGTCTCGCCAAAACGAATACGATACTTCAGCGAAGTTTCTTGTAGGCAACTCTGGTCTCTCGCTTCAGCCTCTTCTTTGGAATGTTCTTATAAAATCACGGAATAAGTTCGAGATGACACGGAGATTCACAATTTTTTGTTGCTATTGAATATAATGCATCGGAATAGAATATATGTGTGTATGTGTGTGTGTGTATAGAGTACTGTACAATGTTGCCTATTTTATAAAATCGAATCTAATTATGCGAATCGCAATCAGTTATAATGTTTTGGGATTTTCAATCCAACATGAAAAAAATCTTGATATTTTAAATGATAAAAATTAATCTGTTTCATGTGACGCTATATTGCTTTACAGATTGGAACTAATTTCAATTTAAAATTAAATTATTAAAAGTTTTTAAATTTTTCGAAGTAGAATAAAGCGTGTATTTTTTTCCAACAATAAAAATTATTTAACTTCTTTTATCTTTTTAAATGCTTTAAATATTTTAAAACTCATGTTTGATTAATTATATCGAATCTCGATGTTCGTGCGATATGAATTTCGCAAATAGAAATTTAAAATGTCCAAAGATCAGTCGCGATAAATTTGTGACTCAAAGCGTATCGCTGAATGTGACGAGACCGGGTATTTCTGCGCTTCGCGGATATTTCGTTCTCATCCCACGAAGACGAGTATGTTCAATCTTCTGAAGTTGTTTACACGACTGACAGGATAGCTGCCGTGGTAAAAGAGGGTAGATGGCAAAGGCAGATTTTTGTCGCGATTACCATTTATTGGCACGTCTTGAAAGCTCGTCGCGGCGCGTAGGATCGCGGTGCTTGCGTCGGACAGCTCTATTTCCTTAAGCGACGGCTGGGGGTAGTTAGAGGGTGGAAATGTCAGGTAACACGGACTGGCTGAGCTCGGGCCCGGCGGATGGTTCTAGGCGAGAGACCCGGCTCAACTTCCGCCTCCACGTGCGTTGGCCACATATGTCACTGAAACTAACTTTTGCGAGCTCTCGCTCTCGCTCTCATTCTCCGCCACCTCGTTCCTGCCTCTCGAGTCTACCCATCGTGGTCCTTGCCCATTCTACCCCTTGAGACTGCCCACCGATCACGGGACGACCGCTCGAATCGCCGTACTTCGGTCCTCGTAATAGTAAAGCTTTTGCAGCGGTGGAAACAATCATTTACCGCGCTGCTTTTGATATATGGCCGTGCGGAAATAAATGTATTATAACGCTGGCGTAGTCGAGAAGGATTATATAGGGTGTCCCAAGCGCATCATTCTCTTTAAAAAAAAATCACCGTAGTGATCTGAACGCTTTATTACTAAACTTTTTAATGTAAAGGATTAAATAATCTTATTTCAAATTTATTTCAATCTTCTAAGTTCAGATAATGAGAAGGTGAATTCGTTATCTTCTTTTTTTTAACTTTTCACAGCTTAATTCTTTAAAAAAATTTTTATATTAACAAAAATTTTTTGGAATATTTTTGCTCACTACGAATCGTATTTGTAATTTAAAATATTAAGAAATATTTAAAGAATCATTTATCGAAATTTTATCGAAGAAATTAATTTCATGTATATATTTATCAAAAAAATCTGATGAAATGATGAAGTCAGAATAATATGTGGATGATTGCAAGTAAGATCGTAGATCATCAGTCTTGGTGAAACACGAAGCAGCAAAATTGTAGATCGCGGTTGATGAAATGTTTCCATTCGGAGCGATGCGTTCACCATGAAGATGCGTGCTGTGCGGTATAAGAAATAAATCACACGTTTCCACGTGCGCGCGTGTGGAACGCGCAATGCACGAGGCGACGTAATTAATTAAGGCGAATCGCTTCGGATTGTTCGCGCGTTTTACACTTGGCACGCTGAGTAATGGCGCTGTTGATTAATACATCCTGCAGATGTTACTACGACATAAACATTAAGACTTTGTGTCTGCAATTGCATTATCATCCTTAACGTCATCTTGCCCAAAAAGAAGGGCAATGATGTTCCGAAAAAATGATTATTCAAGATCGACTATCTTGTTTAAATATTATATTTATATTATAAATTTGCGATGTTTTAATTTTTCTTTCTTTATCGAACTAGATTGTATTTCTGCAAAATATCTACTTCGTTAGTTTATGTTAATTTTCAAAATTTATAATGTTTCAACTTTAAATTTTTATTTCAAATAATTTATTATAAACATTTTTAGAAATAATAGAAAAAATATATTATGAACATATATACATGCATACTACAAATAAATTTATATATTTGATGTATTTATATATAAGATTTCTCATATTTTTTATCTATATAAATTGTATTTTGAAGTCGTATTTTTTGAAAAAATACTAATAATTATTTTTAAAGAAAAAATTAATTTTAAAATTTGCACAAAGATTTATGTTAAAAAAATAAATTTAGAAAACATCCTCTTTATTATATTCCTAATATAGTCCCTTTATATTCTTAATATTTCTCTATATTGTTTCACAAAAAAAACTTGTTTGACTTAAATAATAGATTTTTAGTTTCGTACGACATGCCCGATTGAAAAATCCATCTTTTTACCAAAAAACTTTCAAAATGAGAAGTTAAAATTTTATAACTGGCGAAAAAGGAAGATTCGCGCGAAATTGAAGTGATTTCCATTCGTTACGAGAAGTGCGATCCGAAGGGATGTATTGATAGAATCCAGCACGTGTCGTTTTTATTAGACGCCCCAGATTTGTTTCCACACAGCCTCCCCTTCGTCCTCGCGATCCTCGCATATTCTCCCTTCCCGGATGGTTTCTCTCTTTTTCGCTGCCGATCACAGCAGAGCGCGCGTAACGTCGATAGTCGGTCGTTATTCGACCATAAATTCCGCATCGGTGTTAACGCGAATATACAGAGTATCGCGCGGCTTCATACAAAGAACCGAAGAGCATCCCTACCATGTCCTTTTTACGCGACGTCTCTTTCTGTTTCGCCGTGGCGAAGAGCCATCCCTCTTTTGGCTTTACGATGTTCCTCTGAAATTTATTCCTCCCTCTCGTGGCTCGCAACCCCGTTTCTATCCTTCTGCGATGCACATGTTCGTGAAGCAGAAAAATCCACCCCTGCGCGACTGTACGTCCGAGGTCCGTGGTATTATTTCGCGAATAAAAGCCGCACGATTCGGCGCGATATCAAGCGACACCGCAGGCAACGGTACGGCATTTTACGAGAGCGAATTGCATTTAATTTATCGTTACTCCGCTAACGACGGCTGTAAAGCATCCCGCCCTCTCTTCTTCCTACTAATTCGGAATTTTGCCGTTGCGTACGGCGGCGCGATCCGTATGTACAACGTCGTGTCGTG